GCATGTATGTAATTGATATTTTCAGATCTGTCTTTACATCGTAATTTCTATCTGAAGACGTGCCTGTCGTTATTGGCAATTTTACTAGATCGAAGACGAGTCAGCCTTTTGTAATTTCTCCTTAAAGACTTGTCAGTGTGTTAATTCTATGTCGTTTTTGACTCGCTATCAGAAGAGAAGTTAGTTACCATTTCTACTTTTACGAGTTATTTTGACACCGGATGAAAAAATCTTGAAAATGTCACATTTATAATAGTTTTATTTGGAATTTCATGTTAAAATCAATTTGTTATCACAGTTTTGTGAGTTTTGGGAGGAAAATTTAATTTGAAGTTGTGTACTTTAGGGAAAATGTCACAAAAAGGTACCTGTCTACTGAAAACAGAGGATCGCTAGATGTGTTTGTGATAGCCTACATGTAAGTTATAAACTTCTTTGATCGACTGGTTTTAAAACATACCGTGAAATATGACCCCATTTAGAACATATAGGATCTATTTCAACTTAGTAATTTAAATAAACTAATACAAAGTAAGATTTTAAATTCATTGCAAGAAATATTTCATGGTTTTTAATGCCACACATAAGGAAAATGTCATTTATACCGTTTTGAGAAATCTGTTTAACAGAGACATGTAAAATATTAAAGCTGGGAGAAGGGTGGGCTTATCTACGGTAGAGTAAATCATAGGCCGTTGTGGTGTTCCGTATATTTAAATCTACTAACGTCCACGCATAAGATTAATATGACCTTTGAATAATTGACCTGTTAGAAGGGAGATAATTCAAATATCAAAACAAGTCATTTTAACGAAGACATTGTGTACATGTATGTTCGTAATTCAAACATCTTAATAATCAACACAAAGAATGTGAAACTCAAAACAATGAAATTATCAATTAATATCAAAATAAAAAATTGAAATATCAAATATGCATACAAGTTTATTTTATTTTTACAAAAAAGTGGTTTTTCTCAATGTGCTGAATTGTAACGGAATTTTGATTTTTATATTGAACAATACATACTCTCCAACACAATCATTATTCATTATGATAATTAATAATAAATGTTTAATTGGTGAACTGGATAATCATCTTTTTGTAAAATTACGTAGACACATATATCTCTTTTCTATGATAAAATTTTACATAATGTACTGTAATTTATTTCACATATTGGAAAAATAGGAAAGTGGGGAAGCAAATATACAGCTTATTTTATTCATCCTGATATTTCTTACTTACGTATTAAGTGATTTTTTGGCACTTAACAGCCAAAAAATGGCTGCCCCCATTGCCAGAATGTGTGCATGTGTGTGTGTGTGTGTGTGTGTGTGTGTGTGTGAGGGAGGTTGGTGGTAGTGTGTGTGTGTGTATTTTTTTTCCAAAATGAAGCAAAAACAAAGAATTTTTTCCCATTTCTTTTTCAAGAAAATCCTACAGCATTTCCCTGACTGATGAAGGCACAACTTGCTGTAAAATCAAATGAGTAAAAAACAGTGATAAACACAAATTTATACAGACAGTAATATCAAGTCAGTAATCTTAATATCACCACTAGAAGACCTCGTTTAAACAAATAGAATTTTCATGATAAATATCAAACTTTTCTGCTAACACTTGAGACACATTTTGAAAAGACTTCAAACCAGAAGAAAAAAGCTTAAAAATAATTGATGGCTGTCAGAAAAGGGGCATCTAATTTGATAAAGAACTGTCTGGTAAATCATTGTCAAAATCGAAGATAGTTGCACATCAGCCATTTTCTTTTTCTGATCCATCCCAAAATCAACAGGGCACACACAGGTACAAAGGAGTATGTTAATATATGATTTAAGAAAGATCTATATTGTACTTCTTAAGATATAGCTTTAACAAACTTTCATTGTCAAAATCAAAGATATTTGCCTGTCAGCCATCTTGTTTTTCTGATCAGTTGGAATATCAACAAGGCAAAACAAGGGTCCAAGGGGAACTTACATTTGAAATTTGATATAAATCCATTCAGTACTTCTCAAGATACAGTGCTAACAATCAATTTTTTTATTGTCAAAATCCAAGATGGTTTGCCTATCTACCATCTTTATGTTCCCCATTAGTCCCATAATGGACTATGTACAACCAGGGACTAAGGTGAACCTACACACTTAGTTTGAGAATGATCCATTAAATGCTTCCCCTGAAATAATTGTAACAAATTAAGTTATGCTCGTCAGTTATGCTGGTCATCCTGTTTTTCTGATCAGTTCCAAAATGGAATATGAACCAATAGGTACCACGACAAACCTACATATGAAATTTTAGACTGATCCAGCCAATGTTTCTTCAGAAATAGCGATTATAAGAATAGTTTAAGGATTGATAGATTACGGTCAAAGGACAGTTTGATTATGGTGTCCTAAAAATGTTCAACCATACACTTAAAACACATCCTACTGAAGATAAAATATTGATAGTGATTCTTCACAAGATTCATAAATTTCAGAATGAGAAGAATTACGCAAATCAAAACAATCCATGTCACACATGTAATTCAATATTTTTATGCACATATATGGAATACATTTTCAGCTTTCATATTGTCATATACCTCAGTTTAAACTTAGTGCAATGTTGGTATGCAGACCAAAATCAGAGATCATTTTCTAGGATTTATAACTTCTTAAATATTTGAAAATATATTTCCTGAGTGAAGATGAAAAAATCCTCATAATAGATCTCCTAAATTTCTCATCGAATCAGGGGAACTTAGGTCCTGACTTTGAAAAAAATGACCCAATATCAAAATATTTCAAAAAGCATTTCTGACATCAAAATGTCACAAAAAAAGAGAGGAAATTTTAGCTAATACATGTGCTATCTTACTACAATATATGGACTAGTAATTTTTTATTAACATTGAAATATCAAATTCCCTAAGTCTGATCAGTAGATTTCATTTGATTATAAGATACAATCATTCAACTAATCAAAAGTGACATCACAGTAAAACAATTTTCCCCCGATGTTTTTGTTATTATTGTATAAATTTATAAAGTTGTCACCTTATGAACAATGCAAGTTGGTTTTCACTGAAATCTACATATAAATGTGTTGTTTTAATAATTATTAAAGAAAAACCTCATGTTGTTGATCAACAGTCTGTAGAATTATGTAAAAAGTTGCGTCATATATGATGACACATGCATACAAAGCACTTCATTGATAAACAAGAATGACTTTCAATGTGAATTGGTCGTTGTTGGAAAAATGTTTCAATGTTAGTCACATAGCAAATGAAGGCCAAATGGGCAGAAGAAACCAAAAACATTTTGCTTGGGAAGCTTAATATGGCAGACGAGAATTTATCAAACAAGAAGGCAATCAGGACAGAACATGTATTCAGCTGGATTGACGATGGACTGACAAAATGGAACTAGATCAAAGCTTTGCATGTTGTTTACAATACGTGTACGGCTGGAGTGAGACTTATAAAGAAATGATGGCTATTAATGTCACCTTTTTCCTGATTCTGAATTAAATTTGAGTTATCAAACAACTTCTACTCATCCATAACAAATTTGGGTGCTAAAAAACATGTGTTTACGTACTGTGTCACTACAATTTTCTCCATCATCACGTGTGTTCGTGTATATCATTTGTTTTCAAAACTGTCACATGATATTATCAGCTCTAAATTTGAGAGGTTTTTCCTTATGAACTAATTGCTCAAACTGGACATTGGAAATCAATTGTGAATATCGGGATAACACAGAAAGGTAACTAAAAGTTACAAAACATTGCACAATCAATTAAAAGAATAATGTTTCCTCCTTGATGTCCCTTAAACTGTTTCCAGAAACCAAAACCTATTCCCAATTTAAAAAGGTGAAATCAGCCAGCTTTGATCTAAATTATAGGTACCATTTAGAATAGAAGACACTTATCTTAGTTGAACACTTATCAAATTAATCCAGAGTTTTAAGATTTTAAGAAAGGAGTCTAGGAAGCTTGCGAGCCTTAATAGCAAACAAAAATTCATTGATTTTCAAGATCAGTTTCCTAAATTTTCATGTGAAATAAAAACAAATGTATCATACTTTTGATCACATACCAAGGTTTATATTTCATGGTTTTTCACAAAATGTACATTTTTGTTGTCACTTCATTTCATGGACACATCTAGCCTTCAATAGTCACTAGTACATTGTATTATATTACCCATGTCAAGTGATATCTATTGATCATGGACACATAAGTTTGTGAACTCAGAGAACACATGAAAACAATGAAAAATATCCCCCTCAAAAATTAGTGATTTTACAGTCACACAGAAAAGTTAAATTTTGACAGGTTTTAAAAGTCAAAATGGGGAGGAGAAAACCAAATAGAATCAGCTATGTTGTTAGGCTATTTTTAATTCATGACATGTAAAGTTATTGAACATATAATAACATCAAAAGTAATATCTGACCGATATAGCCAATGAGGTAAACAGTATTCAACTGTAGTTATATACACAAAAAATAAACATTGGCAAATTCACTGGATAACAAGGTCAATCGAAATGAAGACTGGACCACATGTTTGAAAGATAAAATAATGACAAATTGTATGTTCAATTTACTTGAATATTTTGGTTTTTTTAAAACATTTTTTTAATGAAATCTAAAATTTATATCAAACTTTCTTCTTATCATACAGAACTGGACCATGCAAAACTTCTTATGCTTTTCAAAGTGAAAATTTCTATAAATCACAGCTAGCCGTTCATAAAGTACATTTCTGTTCTTTTCTTCTTCACAATTCTCTTGATCCAATCACAAGCATATGTATACCCTTAACTTTTCAAGTGCGATTGTAAATTATCGTTATTTCTGTGAAGTTGCTTCATTTGACGGGTGATCAACATAATACCGCTTCTTCAAAGTCCTATATTTCATCAAAAAATATAATGCCTCTATTTCCTTCTGGACATATTCCCCCTTGGCGATGAGTGCCTCAATTTCCTGTGGATCTGTGATATTTCTGTTATTTCGAAAAGCTTTTCTCTGTCGTTCCCTGAAGTAATCAAATCCTTTAGGATAGTCACGTCCCATGTGCAAAAGCTGAAAAGATTTTTAAAACATGTACATTTATTCAAAATCATCAGTCTTGACATTAATAAACAGCTATGGTGTGTATTATCCAAAATATCTGCCATAATGTTACCAGTAACGCTGATCTTACTGAAGTTTGTAGCTGCATAAATGTGAAAAATACTGAAATATAGATATTCTTTCCAACTGAGTAGGTATTCCGGACCTTTTGGTATGTGTTGTGTGTGTATGGAGGGGGTGGGGGAAGGGTTAGAATAGTACACTTTCAAGGTGATAGAAACAAGCCTATGACAGTTGCTCTATCTAAAAAATAAATTACAATTTTGTGAAAAACTTATTACAGAAGTATTCTCAAGTTTTTGTGTTTGTCCTGTATTAAGCCCATTGACCAAGAACTACATTACCCAGCAGGTAGCTGGTGCCTCTTACTCAAAGTCAAAATGGACAAATTGAATTATTGATATTTTTCTAATAATTTTACTGAACAGCAATATAAGGATGTACTATTTACCATGGATGGGTTTACTTCTAGAAAAAAATGGGAGGACAAATGTGTTGTTTTCTATCGTAAACTTCATTAATAAATATGGTAAACAAGTCAAGCTCAAAACAAAACATTACAAAATTTAATGAAAACAAAGAAACAAACTGTAATAAGTCCATTACATTGAAGGTATTTACAACTTACATTTTTGTAGAGCTGTATAACACGGCTTCTTTGCGTCTGGGCCATGATGGAAGTCATGAGTAAAAGCCACAGTTACTGGTATTGTATCACAGAGGTTCTGCCTGTAAGTCTTAATCAAGAAATATAACCGATTACTTACAACTGCTGTTTGTAAACTCTGTGAAGTGAAATTTGACTAAATTGAGTTTAAATTGTAGTAACAGGAAATTTACATATCGCAGCAATATTTCATTGCTCACCGTCATGAGACAACACACAATCTACAAGTCTGCATGGATTTGGAATACTTTCTTTACACTTTAGCAGGATGGCAGAACAGATGACAAAACAGACGACAGAACAAGCCTGTGTGCTGTAAGCAACAAATAGTAGACACAGTCTGTCATTCACCAGTCAGTGGGGAACAGGAAAGATGTTCGACCAATAATCTATTATTCTGACAACATTTACAGTGTTATATTTGTTATTGATCAGAAAAACATATATACCTTCTTCCATGCAGACATCAAAAGACATCAATCTATCTTTGATCATATTTTTGTTTAAGATGTGGACGGTATCATCTCCATCCAAGAGAAAAATAAAAATCACATATAGATAGATAGAACCCCTTGGTCTAGCAAATTGTGTGACGTCATGTGATGGTGAGCAATAACCAATTGCTGTGACATGCATACTGTAATACAAGCTCTATATTGGCCAGAACAATATATTGTCATAATCAATTTCAAGTTGGAATTGATGAACATTTCTTCCCAGACCGATGGTGAATTTTAACCAAGGTGCAATGATTATCTAACGAAAAACAGACAAGTGGCAGTACCGTGTTTTATATGCTCCGACAACGTTGCATTCAGTTGGTGTTTTTGTAGTATATATGATTCCTGTATTTTAGTGTTATATAGCATATTCCTATGATTATGGTAAACAAGCTTCTGGTTTACCCACAGGAGAATGTAACAATGGTTTTATAAATCAATTGACTATACAACAAATCTAGCTTCTTTTAATTTGTGTATTAATATTGTAAATGTTAAAACGTAACGCTTTTTTTAAATCCTGTCACCTGCCATGTCCTGTTGTTCTATGTATATAACCAGAGACGTATATAACATATGTGTTATGCATGTCTCTGATATAACATACCTGTAGGTAACCTTTGAACTCGATTGCCAGCATACCGCGTTAACGTGTAGCATAAAGATAATGAAATAAAAGTATGGACATATTTTGGGCATTTTCAACAGTAGGATAAGTTTATACTGACCTCTTTATTTAAATAAAACTTCGCATTCTTTATTACGTGACGGTTGACATTCGGACGAAAAGATGTTTTGGAACTCTTTCGTTGAAGTAAAATCTGTGTCATTTACAAGCTCTGCACGCGGTATGTAACAAAAGTACATTTCACCGAGTATGTCTGGTGGAACCATGAATACAGGCGTAATTACGGTTAAAGTGGTAGTTTTGGTATTGCGCCACAGATTCTATCAAATAGTAGATATTAGTATAATTAGTTATATGTAAGTCTGTGATTTTTGTCTCTAATCTCTGACTAAGATTTCTCTGCTCTGCTCTGATCATTTAATTTTTATATATAATACAGTTATACTATTTTTATACAACGGCTAAAAGTCACACGAGCGTTGAAAAATGACCCTTCCCCTGGATTGGCTTCTTCATATTTTTAGAAATATGATGAAGCACAGACGTATGATATGTACTATACACCCCCGGAAACTCCGACCATAATTTTGACCATACATATGTATGTGTGTTTTATTTTGTGGTTGTTTTTGGTTTTTGGGTTTTATTTATTTGTATTTTTTTTTATACAACTGGGGTAAATTTGTAAATGCCTGTTTGTATCATGATTAATTAAACTTGATGTGCAATCTTTATTTCGACTTTTTTTACCGAAAACATGAATTGTTTCTTCTAAAACATCAAAAGTAGTTTTTTGTAACTCTGTAAGTTACTGTTCAATGTGTATGTATGTATGTATGTATGTAAAAAAAATAATTGAATATCTTAAATTATTCTTGAGGCTGTCCTGAGATATGTAAAGAAAACGCTAAAGCCCCCCCCTCCCAATAATTTTGTCAAAATAAAAATTGCAAATTTTACAGAAGATATTTAATATTCAATGATATTTAAGTTTTAGCAGGTCGATTTTCATCATATTATATACACTGTACTGACAAAACACAATTCTGTGACAATATAGTATATATTCATTTCTTTGAATCATATCGTTGAAATATTTCAATCTTCACAATATGAAAAGTTTTACTTGACCTTATCGAACAAAGAGCTATGCGAAATCAGTCATCTGATATGAACTTTCCAAATAACCTCTCGCGTTTTTTTATATTGTTTACGTATCAAAACAAGGTCCTGTAACTGCATCAAAATTAGGTAAACTCCTTATTTTTTAAAACACAACAGGGAATTTCTTTCAAAAACAAGTTATATCAATTCAACATAAGCCATTTCAATATTTTTAGCATGACTTAAAAACATTTCAAGACAAATGTATATATTATCATGCCTAGTAATGATCTGTAATTTACATTTATTATTGTCATCATCACAACTTGAGGAATTTTACAAAAACATGGTTGAAAACAAAGTTTTTCTGTGTATTTAAGCTTTCAAATTTGCAACCAAACAATGCTAAAATCCACCAGTTTAAGTTGGATTCGTCCAGAGGTCCCCCACCAGGGCTTTGCCCTGGACCCACCGGCTCCAGACCCCCTGCCTTAATTATGTATGTCAGTTTTATTGTGTCGTCATTATGATCTTGTGAAATTTGGCCTTGAGTGATATGAAGGTGGACGGTGTTTGATACTCGTATGTTGTTTATTTACATTTAGTTACATGAGATCAACAAGTCATGGATGAAGTAGAAGATCTGGTCTTCATTGATTATCATGAAGTGTTTTTTTCTCTTTTTTTTTCTGTCCGTCAACAAATAGATGACGAAGTATAACCTCCCATTGTGTGTGCGGATATTACAAGCGCCTACGCGACACAGAAAGCGGTGCGTGTACAAATCAATGGAGAAAAGGAAAGTTTCGAATGGCAAGCAAGCAGTCGTTGGTTGATCAAAGCTCATCGTCCGGAGGGAAAACCTGCAGCCCTTTTTCAGAACAAACATGCCGACAAATGATGATTGGGTATGTACTTGATACCGACAAATGTAGCGATCCTACTGACACTTAATATTTCTGTTTATTTAGCAAGTTTTGTTTATTATTTGATTGTATTTTCGTTTTTAGAAGGGGGAGAAGGGTGACGTTTTGATTATTTTTTCTCAACTTCAGCTAAAATCACAATATGCGAAACACTCGATGATGTTTCCGTGTATTCAATAATTTTTTTAAATTTTTGGACCAAGTTGACGACCAAAGTACGAGTATTAGAAGAATTCGCAAGTAGAGTTGAAACGAAAAAAAATATATATATTGCTTCTGCTCGGACCATAAAAGATAGGTAAGTTTTTGAGGTGACACACATAACTTCAGAAAACCGGCTACAGACATTCGTGTGTGTAACAGAGGTCAAAATAGGACAGTATGGGATTTCCTACATTGCACGTGAGTTTCATTAACAGTTTTCTGGTAAATGGAAGACTTTTAGCCGTTGTCATGACTGGAATGATTATAACTTGAACCGGTGAAATACTTAATATGAATGCACCAACTCTTGTCCAAATAACGTACAGAGCCAGCTCATGACACACGAAACATTCAAGAATTATATCTACATGCCTTGTGAACCCTGAAATGTTGATATTATTGACACCAGCTTTGGAAATTTTGGTAATGATAGAATCAAATTGAAATGATTGACAATATAGGATGAAAAAAAAAATCAAAACAATGGAAATTCTGGCAAGCATGCCAGGAAGATTTTTGGCAGAAATTCACGAACAAAATTATTTTCTACATTCATCGACACGAGTATTTATTGATACAAACGATATCAGGCTACATATATATAATGTACATTTGTAAACAAAGATTTCAAAGATACAGCTGTCTCTATTTCATATCATGCAGCCAGTTATACCTCAAAATTTGATTGTGTGCTTAGCCTTGTTAGCTTAATGTGATCAAAATGTCATGGCATTTCCAAATGGATGGTTTAATCGATAATTCACCTGTTCATTTGATTCAGCAAGAACACTTTAAACTTTAGCATTGATTCCTTACACAGTGTATATATATATTGCGCTACATTGTTGTTCTGTTATAAATCTATAAGTATCCATTTCTATAAAATATGACATGTATTTAATTTACAATTTTACAAATCTGGAATTAAAGAGGATTCAAAGATGACAAGAACAGTGCTATGAAAAAAGAGAACCCATTCACATAGTCTGCCCAGTTTCATACCTTATTGTTTGATGTATAAGACTTAATTGTATAAACAATTTTCTTTTAAAAAGTTTCAGAAGTTTAGAAATCCCCTAAAACAATCCTTTTAGAATCACAGATGTACATATATGTGTTTTGAAATATATATATGACTGATTTGATAAAAGGAATTTTACATTCTGTTCCTGGGATGTGAAGATTGATTTTTACAACATGGAAAATGAGAATTTTCAACTAGATATGAATCCAATTGTGACAGTATCTAAAATTCCTGATCTTCTTCCAAGAACTAAGACATTGATTGCAATATTTGCTAGCATAGTGTTACAAGAGTTATTGTTAAAGTGATCTGGTTTTCCAATAGTACATACATGAATATCTAAACACACCTTTATAATATACAGGATATATAAATCCCTTTCCCGCCTACAGCCAATACTGCATGACTAAGCCTGGTCATGCTTGGGTAACCATCAAGGCTATATCTTGCTTTTTCTACAGATGTAAGATCTACTGGACGGAAAAATGTCAATGAGTTTTACTTGAAACTTAAATACTTATATTAACTATGTTCTTATTTCACTTTAATTGTAATTGTAATTATACTCAGATTTTGAATGCACTGCAGCATGTAATATTTTTTCATCTCCAATGACTACTGAACACTGTCAGATATAGTAATAATGATCTCTCATGCTATGTTCAGAATGTATTTTAGCTTTTCAGGGCACTTATATATTGTATGTCCTTTATGCATGTTACTCTCATGTTTCAAATGTGTATGAATTTTATCATAAATTTTATCATAAATTTTGCCATTACATTCAGTTATATAATCCCCCTGCTGTGTTGGAGAAAGGTTTAAGCTGAACAAATGAAAAATGTTATTTATACTAGTGAATTTATATGTAAATGTTTCTAGAATAAAATAGCCATTCAACTATATACTAGTGGAGAAAAGAAACTGTACATGTGTAAAATGTTCATGTACTGCTCAGTTGTATTAATTAAAGCTTGAATCTTTACACAGGTAAGTTGTGTATGCCTCTCGGTCATTTACACTGGTCAGTGTGTGATTTGCACGGATAGTTTGTCAGTCTTGCCCACATCTTCCTTTACCCATTCTTTTTTGGCCAGCAGTCAATTGCAAGCACCTGTGTAAAAGTTTAATATAAATACCTGTAACACACCAAATCAGCAAAATTTTGAAAAGCGTCTTAAAAACACCTTGCCAAGGTTGAATAAGACTGACAGATGCTGCGTCGAAGGTGTGATCAAAGCTGGTGTACATCAAACTGGCGATGTAGAAAAATTTGGTGTGCACATGAAATACTGTAGACACCTTTTGGAGACAGTACCAACAGTTTGGGACCACCATAGATTGGCCTCGGTCAGGACTTCCATGTGTAATGTCTAATCGCCAGGATACATGTATCTCAGAAGTGCTCCTTTGATAGGTAGAAGTATTCCAGACCTTAGAAGAATGAGTCCTCAAAAGGAACATAATTGATTGCTTGAATGAGGCGAGGCATATATCCATGATGTCCAACCAAATGCCGTTCTCCAGCAACATCAACATATAACAGGTTTAGTCTGGTGTAGATGACACATACCTTTCACATGACAGGACTTGGCACATGTTCTTTTTACAGTTGAGTCCAGGTTTCATCTCAACAGCAGCTATGGTCCTTTTAAAGTGTACCATCGTGTTGGAATTCCATTCAGTGGCAGAACAGTACTTGTGGTTGTGGACGGCTCACTTGCAGGCATCAGATATTGTGATGAAATAATTCAGCCTCATGCCCTTCCATTTGTGCAGTGATGTAATGCCATGCTGCAAAAGGATAATGCTGGCCCGTATGTTGAGCGGGCCTATCTGACTTCTATATCCAGACCAATGCGAATGTGCTGCCCAAGCCTGCATTGCCTCCAAAATCAGCCATTGATGTTACCTGACCTGTCACGTGTGCTTGTGAGAATGGTATTCCCCAGGCATTTTAAGCACATTTGTTGCATCAGTGAGGCATCATTGTCAAGCATGCATCAATTCCATTGGTGAGCATACACGCTATTGATGAGCTGAACTTTGTTTAAAGACCGTCTGTGAAACTGATCTCTATCCAAGACGCTGCTGATGCAATAACCACATCAGTTGAGCTGGTGTTAAATAAAGGTCAAATAAACCCTGTAAACTATGTTTTGGCGACATACCTCCTAAGTTTTAGCTTATGGAAATGAAAATTACTTCCTGCCAGTAGAATAACTCAAATTCAGTGGAGTTTTTTTTCACTTTTAATTTACGAAATTATTTGATAAATTTAGTATATGTAGCTTGTTCATTTCCAGACTCACTAACATATTTTATTTATTTATTTTTTTTTAATTCATGATTTTTTTTATTTTTCAATGATTTTTCAAAACATAAATATTTCACTCACACCCATGCCAACGCCACACTCACACATGGTTGGAGTACACACACACGCCCTCACACATACCGATACACAGACACACCACGATATTTAAGGGCATAATATCATTTTCACTCTAGTCACATTTTAATAATCATCATCATCATAAATAATATATATCTAAATTGTACGCAACATATCATCATCATCATCATCATCCATCATCTTTCGCAATGCATTATCAACAGACATCAATCATTATTGTCATCATCATCATCATCATCATCATCATCATCCATCATCTTTCGCAATGCATTATCAACAGACATCAATCATTATCGTCATCATCATCATCATCATCATCATCATCATCATCATTAACATCATCATCATCATTAACATCATCATCAATAATCCTCCTCCTCCTCAAATATCATCATCATCATTGTAATTATCAAACTAGAAAATTGACAATCTCTGAACCAGCATATAAAGATGGCTATCAAATTTGGCCCAGCCTATACATGCTATGGAATGAGTACACACACACTCCTTCACACTCATACACACCCTCCCTCACACATACACACTCACGATCATACAAACATACATATAAATATGATAGATGGGAAAGGGTGGGGCAGAAGAGAAAGGAGAGAAAAGGCAATGGATTAAGAAGGGAGAAAAGAGGAAGAAACAAGCTGAAGGGCTATATCAGATACTGCCTATTTCTACATTTATATTTAATTTATAGGTCAAAATGAAAAAAATTGAAATGATAACCGAAATTGTGGTGATGTCAAGGTCAATGGAGAAAGCAGTTCAAAATGTAGTTCATAATTCCAAAATAGGTTTCCATTTTATTCCATGGGTTATTCAAATCGCCCTGCGTCCATGGTCCGTGGTCCGTCCATCCGTAAACAATTCTTGTTACCGCTATTTCTGGAAAAGTACTGGATGGATCTTTCTCAAATTTCATATGCAGGTTCCCCTTGGTCCCTAGTTGTGCATTGTACCTTTTTTGAACTGATTCACATTCAAGATGGCCGACAGGTGGCCATCTTAGATTTTGGAAGTAAAAGTTGGTTACCGCTATTTCTTGGAAAGTACTGGATGGATCTTTCTCAAATTTCATATGCAGTTGTGCATTGTACCTTTTTTGGACTGATTCGAATTCAAGATGGCTGACAGGCAGCCATCTTGGATTTTGGAAGTAAAAGTTTGTTACCGCTATTTCTGAGAAAGTACTGGATGGATCTTCTCAAATTTCATATGCAGTTCCCTTTGGTCCCTAGTTGTGCATTGTACCTTTTTTGAACTGATTCACATTCAAGATGGCCGACAGGTGGCCATCTTGGATTTTGGAAGTAAAAGTTTGTTACT